ATTGCACAAATATTTCCAAAGGTATAACAGTTTATTTGAAAATAAAATGTTATTCTTCATTGGCAAAGAACCTCCAAATCCCAGCCTTTGAAGTGAGGTGACATGCCTCATAGCTCCAGTTACTGTTCATCTGTTCATTTGAAACCCTCCAGTAGGCATGTGAAAAGGATAAAATATTTATGAAGGGTGCACTCCATTTGGCTGTTAATCAAATAATTACTAGAGTGCAGAGAATGTAATGTATCTTGTTTTTTTTTTCTCCTGGAACTTCACTATACCTGATTAAAAATGATGAAGCGAAACTTTTGCATTACCCACTTAGATCAAAATGCAACATAAAATGCATTCATCTCTTTCTGAATAAATCAAGTAAGTATTTGGTTATAAAAGGAATTTAATTGAAATGTGTCCAAAGGTTGCGTAACAGCCCCAGGAAGCCCTGTATTAGTAACACATCCTACGCTTTTTCTTAGCTTTTCCATTTCCAAATACTTGCACAGTAATGGAGGGAAAGTTTCAAACACTAACAGTGAGATGCAGTCTCTCTGATTTACCAGAAAGCAGGTGACCTGCAGCGCGCCCTTTGCCCTGGTCTGGGATACCAGGGAGTTCTAGGAGAGTCACTTCTTGAAAAGAAACTGAAAAAGAATCTTTAAAATAATAGCAACTTATTTATCCATTTGGTACAGCTGGTGAGGAGAAAATGACAGGCTGACCCGTACCTCGTTGGTTTAGAGAATTATTTCAGGACTGGAGTCACTGGGGAGCCGTAGCCCACAGGCTTCACAGCGTCTGCAGGGCCGTGAGAGACGAGGGACCGCCCGTGCAGGCCACCGCGCTGCATGATCTTCTATGTACTTCATTACTTTCATTTTGCATTTTAATTTATTTTTAGTTTTTACATTCTATCACTGTCATTACAGCAAACCAAATGGATTTTCCTGTCATTAACACACGGTGTACTGGATCAGCCCAAGACATCACACACGTTATCAAGAGATAATTCCCCATCTCTGCGATTCTTAAATGCTTCTTTCTTTACCCCTGGACTTCTTCCCTCTCACCTGTCCCCCTTTCCCACTCTCCTCCCCCACACTTTGGATAACTGAGAGGTCACCTGAGACACGTTGAGGAGAAAAGGCCCCTGATGTGATCTGAAAGTCTCCACTGCCACTCACGCTGTCATTTGACACTCAAAGTGGGAGTGCTGGGGGTGGAGCCCAGCGGAGGCCTTGGGACATGCGGGTGGGTCACGAATGGGTGGGGGCCTCTGCCTGCACCTTGGCCACAGGGCTCTCTCCTTCCTGCCTCTCCTGCACATGGCGATGTAGCACCAAGTGTTAGGCCCGTGCTCTTGGGCCCAATCGCGAGCCAGACCAGCCTCCTTGCGACCGAATCACCCAGTGCTGGCACTCCGTGTTCCCTCACAGCCGCACAGTGGACTAAGGCAGGCACTGCCCCACCGCCCCCTCGTCCTGGGTGTGGCTGAGAGCAAACGCTGCTGAAATTCCAGTTCCACAGGGAACTGCCAGGCTCCCCAGAGCAGCTGCCTTGATGAGGGTGTGACAGAACACGGGGCACTGCGTGCAGAGCGTGGCGAGTCGCACCTGTCCCCAGAGCACTCCTCACAAAGCTGGCCACTGTCTCTCTGGACCTGCCTGCAAGGCCATCTTGTCCGCGTTCCCTTCCCAACTGCGCCAATCGAGGCAGCCCTCTCCACCTGCACCGTCAGTCACCCCCAGCAGAGCCCTGGACTCGCTCAGCAGCGCTCACCGCTGGGAAATACTTGCTTCTTTATTGACTTGGTGTTTACTCCTCCCAATTGAGACTAATACTTCCTGAGGGAGAGGCCAGTCTTGGCTAAATGACAGGGGTCCTGCAGGTGACAGACATTTATTGCAATGTGAGAGGCCGGGTGCTCAGGGTTTGGCAAAACAGACGTGACCCGCGATCCTCGTATGGGCCACGTGCATTAACCAAGGAACCGCAGGAAGAAGGCAACGCCGTGGCTGTGACCAGGTGGGAAGGAGAGAGGGCTGGGCTGGCAGAGCTATGAGAGAAGCCCAATTGAATCAGGAGCCGGGACAGGCTTCTCAGAGGTGACTTTCGAGCTAAGATTTAAGACAAGTGGACATGAATTAAGTGAGGAGATTTCAAGCTTCTGCAAAGACTGGCAGCAGAGAGGGTGTTCACACGAGGGACTGAGCAGAGGCTGACGCGGCTGGGTCACGGGAGAGGGGAAGGTCCATGGTTAGCCGTGGGGCCGTGCCGGCCGTGGGGAGCCGGGCTTTGCCCTGAGTGTTAGAGGAGCCACTGACTCGTGTCTGTGTGTGCGTGTGCGTGCGTGTGTGTGTTCACAGGTCAGTATAAGATGTACTTTTAAAAAAATAATAAAACAAGTTGACTTTTTCAGTGAGCACACGCATGCACGCACGTGAAAGAGAGTGAGCGAGAAACAGCGCCTCCTACGGGGCCTTGACGCCACGCTCCACCCCCAGCCCTCAGCAATGTGCTCAGCATATCCAGGGGCATCTCGTGACATGAACAGGGACTCTTCTTATGTGAGTCAGCCTGCCAGAGCATCGGGTCTTGCCCTGTGCCATTGTCTGGTCCCCAGAGTGCTGCCGTAAAGGTGATTGTCACTACTCTGCAGAGCGCATCCAGAGGGAGAGAAATGACGTAGGACCTCCGAGGCATCTCAGGGGAGAATTGACGGGAGTTTGAACTCAGGAGTGCTTACGGGAAAGGAAGTAAGTGACTAGATCCCAGGAACATTCAAGAAATTTAACGGAAAGGACGGGTGTGGAGGACGATATCAAGGACAACCTGCTGCCTGCTTGAGCCGTGGATGGTGCTGCTATTTTTTGAGAATGATAATATGAAGAGATGCCAAGGGATGAAGGCCATGGGCTTGTTTTTAACAGGCGAAGCTGAAGATTCTGTTTCTATGAGTTTGCTTTTTATTAATAGCTCTATCCCATTGGACTTGACCAAATATGTTTACCCTTTAAATAATTTAGTCTACAGCCAGCAGAGGGTATGGTGGTTGAGCTGGGCTCCTCCATGGCCAACAGCGTTTCCAGTCCCAGACCTGAGGGCTTGCTTTCTCTCTCTCTCTGGTGAGGACAGATTTCCTATGTCAAATTAAGGAAAATAATGATAATAACAAATAAAATTAAATAAAACACAATTCTTTAAAATATAATAGTTTTGTCCATTTTCGCTCTGTGCCCAATGGAATGCTGAAGTTTTGTTTTCTACAATCCTAATTCCTACATAATGTCTGAAGCACATAAAGACCTAACTTCCAACTAGAGAATTTTCCCTCTAATGAGAATTGATAGAGTAGTTGTTGGTGGTGTTATCTGTAAACAATATATGGTTGACAACTTGGACCTTGCTATCAAAACTACACATCTAAAGAAAAAATAGCGGAACTCCAACATGTAATCTCAGGGTATCAAGCAGAAATTGTCCCAACCTTGCTGGATTTAATACAGACCTCCGAGCCAAGCAAAATAAGGAGTCCTAACCAGATCACAGCGGCCGTGGGCTCACGACACGTCTCTAACATGTTTAGTCTTCATGGTTGATTAACGAATAGGCAACAGACCCAGGCAGGAGATATTTTAACTAAAATAAAATGGCCACGCAGGGACCTATACGTGAGGTGCTTTTAAAAGACAGTGTCCAGGTGTTGTTTTAGACATTAGAAGAAATTAGCTAGAATTAACCAGAGGGTGCTTTGTTCTTTTTATTTATTTCTGTCATTTTAATTCTTTAGAAATGCTGGGATACCATGCAAGAATCCTTTCCAGTTTTAAAATATTTTGTAAATTCACTTTAACTTTATTTTCCAGAAAGATTCCTTGCATTTCTTGATATCTATCTATTTATCTACTTACCTCCTTATTTATCATGCATACATATATATGATATATATGTATATTGTATATGGTGTATCATATTATATCATAGATCATATATATCATTTATTATGGTATCATATGTAATATATTTTATATTATATATATTATATATCATATTTATTGTATGTTTTCATTGTATATATTGTATTTATCATATGGATGGATACATGTGTGTACACATTTCAGTCTAATAACTATATTGTTTGTGGTATATTTGACTTAAAGTCTTATGTAAAATTGAACTAAACGTTTACTTTCAGAACCAGCAACAATAGTCTAAACTAATATAAAAGCTGTAAATGTTGGCACTTCCAAGACTCCAAACACATAGGTCAAAAAGTAAGTAATTTAACAACTGGTATCTTTCTGAGTAAACAGAGTAAATACCAACTTGCTAACCTATTTTGGGAAATCCATTAAATAACTTAAACAAGCAATCTGTTCACCAGTACTTAGGAAATGTGTTGATAATATTAAAGCAAAAACAAAACCTCCCACAATTTACCATTTCGTTTCACCACAATTTTCTCTCACACACAAAGAATCAGTTTTCAGTGACTGCGATTTCATTTTAAACTGAAACCAAATGAGATGTACACTCTAGACGTTTAGTCTGCCTCTACAGACGTGTACAGTCTGCATGTAGGCGGCGACCAGGAAAGCAGAGGATGAGAGCGCGACAGGGACCCCAGAGAATGGGTCCCGTGATTGACAGCTGCATGACGGAGCAGCACAAACCGAAGAAATGCTGTTCTGATTCGGCGAGAGCCAGAGGCCAGGCAGGTCTCTGCCCCTCCTAAGGGCCCATCCTGGTGTTTTGTGGCTGGGTAAGACAGTCCTGACAGCCCCAGGTGCTCTGGACGTCTAACACGGCGCCAGGTGACTGCAGGGACCCCACCTGGGAGTGCGTTCTGCAGTGCCAATATCTCAGACTCACATCAGACACTGCGAGATGTCTGCACGGCACTGCAGGCATTCTTCATACGAACCTCGCGAAGTATTATCTACTCAGTCTGGAGTCAAGCGGGGAATATTCCACTGCTACAGGAAACACACGCACTCAGAACTGAATTCCAGTATTCCTTTTTAAATCGACATTTATTATTTCCTACTTATACACAAAAGCTTGTCATGTTAGAAAATGTGAAATACAGAAAAGATGTAACAAAGAAAATTAAAATCACCCCTGATCCCTCCCGAGACACAGCTACGGCTAACACCTTGATATAGTGTCTTCTAATCTCTTCATCTGTATACATAATTTTTTAATATCACTAAAATTACATCATAAATAATCCTGCTTCTTTCACTCATGTCGTATCATCATTTTCCACATTGTTAAATATTATTTAAAATAATAAATGTTAAAGTCTATACAATAACTAACTGGTTAGCTGTGTGGTACTGCATTTAATACATAACATATTTAAGGGTATAGTCACTATGTTCAGCTTTTATAAATAAATGTAAATTTTGGGACTTTTAGTTCTTTATCCAGTGTCCTTTAGGCAATTATGTGACACAGCTATGCTTCAGTTTACAGCATAATAAATCACTCAAAAGACATAGAAAAAGTCGAACAAATTGTTTGATAAACTAGTATAGCTAGTGAAAGGATTGGTTTCACTTTCAACATGTGCCCTTTTATTACTTTAAAGTGAGGAGTAAAGTGCCCTTTTACATGTTTCTGAAAGCATGTTTTCAGGTGTTCTCCGTATAGCTGTGACTTGAAGTGAGCCTTATCGTGGAGGAAGTGCCTCAACCTGGCTGTAGTGGCTGCTGAGATCCGCCTCGGAGATGAGAGGTCAGGCAGACGGTACATGGAAGACCCTCGATAGCGGTGCTGAAGGACGGGGCTCCTGCAGAGCACCTCGGCAGCAGGTAGAGCCCGCCCGTGGTCGGAGTTAACTATGCGACCTGGATGAGACAGTCACTGTTACCCGGTCACTACGGAATGGCACCTTAAAGACAGCTCACGCTCAAATGCTTGTCTGTAATTTAACTTGTCTTTATAGTCAGAGTGAAGTCGAGAAATAAATGAAATACTATCAGGTAATTCAAATCAATAAGCTTTATAAAGACAGTAAAGAAAACATCTTTCAACAATCAACCTTACATTGACCTTCTAAAATATTTTTTAGGAGAGATATTTGCTCTCGGGTACATACACTCACCAGAGAGACAGAGAGAGACAGGAAGACAGAAAGTGAGAAGTCATCCCTAGGGAAGATGGCCACACTGCCATCCCTTCTCCTCCATTCTCCTCTCAGGATTTTGGGCACACACGCACATGTGTTCTGTGTGAGTTTTAAGCCATGGGGTCCGGGACTTGAACCGTGGTCAACTATGTGGGAGTCCAATGATGTAGCCATTATGCCATCTGCTAGCCCCGTACTTTTAAAAATATCTTAAATATGGATTCCATTTCAAGTTTGCCTTATGTAGAACATTCATCAAAATCTTTATGTATTAGCATCAGAATTCATGAACTCTATTATTACATATATCATCTTTATTGCATTTAGTAGCTGATTAGTAAGGTTTACGGAAACCAAGGAAGTACCCAAGAAAAGTTAGAATAGCAACTGCGTGGGCCAGGCCAGTAGCCCCATGGTAATGGGAGCCGGAAGTCGTATGGCTGACCTCAAAGTTTGAATCCCAGCCCCGACAGCCTGAGAAACACACAGAGTTTGTGCATGTATGTCCTAAATCCAACAGCATGAAGAAATGGAGGAGAAAGGTTTGCAGCACGACCACGCCCCACAGTGGTGGGCTTTCTCCTTCCCCCTGTTTCTCTGTCTCTCTCTGATGATCGCATGCAACTTTTGGTTTATAAACAAAACAAGCGAACCAACAGCACTGTTCAGCGTACCAGAGTACCAAATATTTGGGAGTGTAATTCCATCTTCTATCAGGAGTGGGCGACACGCAGAAGTGAACCAAGGCCAGCGGTGAGCCAACCCGGCTACCTGAGGCAGCAGCTGGACCTTCCACGCAGAAGCGAGCCAAGGCCAGCAGTGAGCCAACCGGGCTACCCAAGGCAGCAGCTAGACCTTCCACGCAGAAGTGAGCCAAGGCCAGCGGTGAGCCAACCCGGCTACCTGAGGCAGCAGCTGGACCTTACTCTTTTTCTGAGGGTACTGGAAAAACAAACTTAGAATGTGGTCGCTCATTCCCAACCTATTCTCCGTAAACGGCCGTACACATCGGCAATGCCTTTTGGATCACTTGGTGACTAGATCAGGAGTGTTCAGGACCTCACTGATGGCCGGTAGCAGGACTCGGGGTGCGGTGCGGCTCCAGTCCCCTGGCTTCCCTTAGGAGACAGCCGTGTGCTACCCTGGTGGCTAACAGCGAATAGCTGTGTGTACGGTTGGCCCGCTAAGAGACCTCCCTACCAGTAACCGGTCAGACTTACCCACTAGGAGGCAGATCTTTTATTCTCACATCTGAAAGGACCGGTTCAGAATGGAAAAAGGATTTAAACCACCAGGTAGATTCTGCCACTTCAGGTAACCCTAACAAATAAAACAAATAAAATATTACTCCCTCATTAAACAAATCTGAAAAATTAAAAACAAAGAGCAATAATGAAAGTGACTCTGATTAGAATTAAAATTAAGTACCTGGATGGGACTTGTCATCCTCGATAAAATTAGCGGAATCGGAGCCCGTTAAAGAACTAACGGAAGAGATACTGGACTCTGTAGGAAAGAAGGGCAGTAAACAGCGAGCGGGGACACCCAAGCCATTCACATACGCACTCTGAGTAGCACGGTTTCACACCACGCACTCATGGCTCGGGGAGTCTTCAAGTGAGAATTTATCAAGTTATTCACAAAAAAGCTTCCAAAGAATATTATATCTTCTACTAACTTATTTTCCTGGTGGATAACACTCCTTCTCGCTCTTGTTAGATACAGACATAGAATTACGATTACATTATAAATGTCAAATTCAAAGCCTTAGGAAGTACAAAATTAACAATAATTAATAGTGTACTACATTAAATATCACATATATATTACAACTTACAGAAGTTATCCAATTTCAAAATTAAGGATGTATTTTAGAAGATTCAACATTATGGTTGTCTTACTAGACTTATATTTTAAACCTACAAGTTCTTTAAAAGGCCAGAATATAGCAATAACTTTACTGGTAAGGTAGCACTAGGCGAATGAGCACAGTTTAAACTGTGGCCACGCTAAATCAGTAGCTGTGTCTTGCTCTTACACTACAAATGAGCCTTGAAATAAGTTTTCCATATGCTGTTGGCGTAGATAATTTCAATAAATTCTGACTCGGTTCTGAAACCCTCATTCCATTTTATGAAATTCCTCACTCTTTAAGAAGCTGCAGTTTTCTATTTGCTGTGGAGGCGCTGTTAGATGGACTGATAACAAAGCCGGTCAGATAGCTGCTGGCCCTTCACCCCTTGAAGAAAGTGAGTCCAGGAAGCCTTTGAAGCAGAGACATGTTGTTCCTCCTTTTCTACGGGACTGAGTATTTTATTTATGCAAAATGATCAGCTTTCAGTGTGTCCTGTGAAACATGAGCTCCCTGGAACTAAGATGTAATTCTGAAACTGGGCTGGCTCCCTTCCGTATAAATGCAGTGTAAGTGCTAGAGCAGGGAGGCTTGGCGACACGGGCCCAGGACGTCTGCGACGTCTCCTGATTCCTTCACTGCTGTCAGTTTTCTCCGAGTTCTGAACACAACATAACGTGACACCAGGTCAGCACTACCCTACGAACATCACCTTCGGTCATACCGGCTAGCGTGATACCAAGTGGTGGTACAACTTACTTCGATAATACTGATTTCTGGCCAGAAGGCACCCTATGGAAGGTACTGATGCCATGGTTGTACGACCGAGAGAGAGCTCCAGGGAGGCCGTGAGCAGGAATCTGAGAAACAGTGGTAGAAAAGGACAGTCAGACCAATCACGTGAGTTTCCTTTGCCTTCTCCATGTGATTATTTTTTTTGCAGAACAATATCATTTGCTATGTAATACATATATGGTAAAAGGAATTTAAAAGCTTACACAGAATTGCCACCAAACATACTGCAATACACAAAAAACACAAGCAACGAATGTACTTGGATGAAAAAGAGCCAGTGAAGCGACTCACCCAGCCATACGCAATGCCCTCTCCCATCTCAGACAGACCCTCCCGCCAGGGGAAAGCGAGGCAGCCATGACGCAGCACTCACCTTGCTGTTTATTCCAGGTAGTTTTGAAAAATAAACGTAGTTCTAAGGTTTCTTCAAAAAACACACATTTGGAAAGAGCCAGTTCTCAGTGGCGTGAGAGGGACGGCAGTGCCGGACACCCAGAGCACTGGGCAGTCCCCCGAGCTCGCCTTATATCAGAAGCCGCAGGCTGGCTGGGACCGGAGCTCTGGGTAACTCGAGGTGAGCTGGGCGGGCAGCCAGGAAGCACTCTGCCCGTCTGCAGGACAGGGGACGGGACGTGTCAGCATGCCACACTCGGCAGGCAGCAGGCAGGACTTGGCCCAGGGCTGCTTTGGTCTGACCCATTTTAGGAGTACAGCTTATGACAGACGGGATAGGTGCCAGCCAGGTCCCCGCAGCCTCAGGCACCATTGCACACGCTACTGAGGACAAAATCCTGACTTTTTCCCACTCCAGAGTTGCTTCCACGGGGACCTGGGAGGGGCCTGCCTACAAACAGTAACATGGCAGTGGGCTGCTCCATTCTGTCCCAGGAAGAGGGTTTTCATGATGCGAAATGAGCCTTTGTATTCTTTTGCTTACTTCTTTCAGCAACAGAGACTTGTGATCTTCTTGAACCAATTGCTACACCAAGAATTTCAAACTCACCTGTAACCTCCCAGCCTCCTTGGCCAGGTATCCCAGCCAGGCCAAGGGGGAGACTCCTTATGCTGATTGACAGCGCTTCTGCCGGAGGCTCTGTAAAGGGAACCGCTGCTCTGCGCACCCCAGGAACATTCTTTCCCTGGGTCAGTCACTCAGCTTCATGCTTATAAATAAACCGCATTCATTACTATTTCTGCAGAGTTGGTTAATTCTGTCAACACGACCAAAGCACCATGGGGCCCAGTGGGTGAGGAATGCCACAGCCGGTGCCCAGTCTAGTAGGGAGACAGACACCCACACAGACTCCATGGAGCAAGGTGGAGCAGGGCAGCCAGCAGAGCATGGAGGGAGGACCCTGCTCAGCACTGGGGCCTCACCATAGACAGACACGACTGGGCAGCGGGACAGCCGGACAGCCTTAGGGTTCCCATGGGAATGACAAAGAACAGACGGGCTCACAGAAAGCGTGGCATTCGAACACTATTGACACCCAACCGGAATTTTATTACCATTTTATAATATTGTATAGAGATCGTTTGCCCTTTCATAGACTCAGTTGACTTATAGGACATATTTTGGCTACTCTTGACATTGAGAGGCCGTTTTTTCAATTGCCTGTTTTATTTCTGACTTGCCAGCTGTGTATTTATTCTTAACTCCATTTTTTTTTTTTGAGAGATGTTTTTGCTATAGGGAGTGTGTGCACTCGCCAGACAGACAGAGAGAGAAAGAGAGATAGAAAGCGAGAAATCACCCCCCGGGGGGTGGGTGGCCACACTGCAATCCCTTCTCCTCTATTCTCCTCTCGGGATCTTCGGCACGCACGCACACGCACCTGGTATGAGTGTAAGCCATCGGGTCCGGGACTCGAAATGCGGTCGACAACATGAGAGTCCAGCGACATAGCCATTACGCTAACTGCTGGTCCCAACTCCGTTTTAATAATATATACAGTGATATGAAGCTATTCATGTCAGCTAAGTTTTCAGGTGTATTTAAAACATTCATTATAATATGCCTTTATTGTTAAGGTGGTCTTTGTCATGGGCTGTGGAAGAATTCACAAACCCAGAGAGAAAATAATTTACTTAGTAAGTATTATTACTATTGTTTAGCTTTTGCTATCGGGCGCTTGTGCTCACCAGAGAGAGAGAAGGTGAGAACTCACTCCCTGGGGTTAGGGGGTGACTGCGCTGTGATCTCCTCTCCTCCTTCTTTTATAATATTGTATAGAGACCGTTTGCCCTTTCATAGACTCAGTTGACTTATAGGACATATTTTGGCTACTCTTGACATTGAGAGGCCGTTTTTTCAATTGCCTGTTTTATTTCTGACTTGCCAGCTGTGTATTTATTTTTAACTCCATTTTTTTTTTTTTGAGAGATGTTTTTGCTATAGGGAGTGTGTGCACTCGCCAGACAGACAGAGAGAGAAAGAGAGATAGAAAGCGAGAAATCACCCCCCGGGGGGTGGGTGGCCACACTGCAATCCCTTCTCCTCTATTCTCCTCTCGGGATCTTCGGCACGCACGCACACGCACCTGGTATGAGTGTAAGCCATCGGGTCCGGGACTCGAAATGCGGTCGACAACATGAGAGTCCAGCGACATAGCCATTACGCTAACTGCTGGTCCCAACTCCGTTTTAATAATATATACAGTGATATGAAGCTATTCATGTCAGCTAAGTTTTCAGGTGTATTTAAAACATTCATTATAATATGCCTTTATTGTTAAGGTGGTCTTTGTCATGGGCTGTGGAAGAATTCACAAACCCAGAGAGAAAATAATTTACTTAGTAAGTATTATTACTATTGTTTAGCTTTTGCTATCGGGCGCTTGTGCTCACCAGAGAGAGAGAAGGTGAGAACTCACTCCCTGGGGTTAGGGGGTGACTGCGCTGTGATCTCCTCTCCTCCTTCCTCCTCTGGGGTTTGGGCATGCACAGACACGCTCCCGGTGTGTATTTTCAGCCATGGGGTCGGACTACAGCTGCTCACCTGGTCATGAGGGACCCGGCCCCTTCAATCACCATCTTAATTATCGTCTAACCCCAGAGAAAAGAATTCATTCACTTTCAACAGTGGAAAGGGGCCAGATGCAGAGAGCTGCATGTGCCCCAGAGGTGGAAGCAAGGAGGAGGGGGCTGTGTTGGGTCATTAAGGTGCCCCACCTGTTGGTCCTTTGGTTTTCTCATTGTTATCTCTGGATGTCATACTGGCTGCTGTAGTCGACCACGGATTCTGTCCTTAGTTTCCGTGCCAGTGGTTGCCAGATGTTGCAATCTATATGTCTGAAGGCAAGAACTTAGAGAATCCAGGTCGGCCATCTGTGAAGTGGTCCAGGAGGGAAAAGGGAGGAGTAGGAAGAAGGTCGGAAGCACCTGGGAGTTTAAGGAGCCTTCACCATGAGGGCATCAGCAAAGCACACTGAATCAACCTGGGCCTGAGGAGACACTGAGACGCTGAATTAACACTTTCCAGTGTCTTTTTTTTTTAATTAAAAGAAAATTGTATTTAACCATTGTATACCTTTACAGCATACAATATGGGTTCACAAAGCATAAATGCATTTCATGTCAAGCAAGTCAAAGATACTGCCAGTGTCTTAACAACTTACAAGCCTTTCATTTATGGTTCTTTTGGAATAGCTCCAGACAGAAATATACTGCATGAGCTCACTTAAATGTGCAATCTAAAAAAGTCAAGTACATTAGAAAATAGAGTAGAACAGAGATGGGGAGGGGGGAGGGGGAGGTGCTGGCCAATGCGAAGTCGCAGCAGGTGCACGTCCAAACCTAATGTACGTGAGGACTGTGCTTGCACCCATACGGCACCCTGGAAACCCAGCAAGCGCAGATCTGAGGTACTCGTACCGCTGAATAGAGCAGCTCTGTCAGGAGAAGGGCATGGGACTTCACAGAGATCCCGCCAGGTGTGGGTGTGTCAGAACGCCATGTACACCGTACATACACACAATGTAAAGGACAAATGGAAAAATCTAATTCGTCTGTTGCTAGTTTCATTCCCCCGTCTCTCCAGTTCTTTTCTTAAATAGTTTTGCTACAGATTTCTCTATTAAATTAGGTGTTTTTTTTTCCCAGAGAAATATTGGTTCCTCTCTTTCAATTTATATTTCATTGTTTTCTGTCTTGCTTCTTCTCTTCTTTTAACTTACTTCACGATTATTCTTACTGCCATTTATTTCCAAATATTTTGTAACTACCATTATAATATGTCTTGAATGTCCGAATTACTTAACAATGTTTTTCTTTCTCCAAAAGTCGAAGGTATTTCCAGTTTGTTTTTTGTTTTGCCAGAGGGCGACTGCTCCACCTCTGGCCTCCCCTCACCTGGCTGAGGTGTACAGAACTCACGAGAGGGTCTTTTGAGTGGACCTTTGCTTCTATCTTCCTCGGTCAGCACTAACATTTTCCTTTTGTGCTATGACCCCTTTCTTTATCTTTTTCTTTATTTATTCTAACTTTTCTTTTCTGAATTCTTTTGTTTCTCTGACCATCTTGAACATAGTTACTATGGAGTTTTAGTCAAATTGCACCATAAAATTAACTTAATCTCATATACTTTCTGTAACAACTTTTGAGTTTTAGAGCCAGTGAGAGAGAAAGTAAGAAATCACCCACCCCACCCCCCGGGAGCAGGGAGTGGCCACGCCAAAATCCCTTCTCCATTCCCCTTTCAAGAGTTTGGACACACACTCACGCGGGCCCTGTATGAGTTTAAAGCCATTAGGTCTAAGACTCGAACCATGGTCGGCCTTGTGAAAGCCCAGCATCTTACCCACCACATCACCTGCTGGCCTTCTCGCCATCTTTCTCAGCACTAGATCTCTGTCGGTTCTTTGGAATGTGGGCTTGCAGGTTCATGGGACTGTGAGACATGGCTGCCGAGTTCTCTCTGCATCGTCCGCATCCAGGAAGCCGCTCCTACCTCTCTGGTCAGTGACTTCACAGGTATCAGGTACCTGGTGATGGCCTTTATATCTTGCAATAGCAACATTCTTCACATTTTATTGAGTTGTTTATTTCTTTCACACCCTGAGTTCTAAGCTGCTCAAAAGCAGAGTATTCTATTCATTTCTGCCTTTGCAGACAGAGCTGAGCACAAAACCTGATATAAATAGTAGTTTATGTTCTAAAAATGTAATAAAACTAATGCATTCTTTCTGTGCATAGCAAAGAGTTTCTCATTCTTGGTGCATAATTAAAATGTCATAACAGGGCTCCTATTCCCATGCTAGATCTGACATAATTAGACTAATTCCTACCTTATATCCTGATTCCTGTTTTTGTCAATATCTAAGTATTAAAATCAATCACAGCTGCACTTTTATTGGGTCTCTTGTCCTAGAATTAAGTGGTGCTAACACTTCTCTTTGATGATGACAAGAAGAGAGCGACTGTCCCACTCTGATGGTGCATTGAACACTGACAGGAAGACCAAGCCTCTGCCCACGGACAAGGTGCAGCACGCTCCCCTGCAGAGAAAGGCTTAAGAACAATAACTTGCTAA